CTAGGTAAATGGATGTACCTTGAGACCATATTCTTAAGTGAAAAACATCAGAAATACATGTTCAAATATCACATGGTTTCTCTGGTGTGATAAACTGAAAGTATAAATAAGGACCAAAATGTTTGTAGATACTGTGAAATAGGAAGAAAATGTTCAACTGGGAAGAGGATCTAGGGAGAGGGAGGGGGAAAGGTAGAAAGGGAAAAGGAAAAAAGAATAGAAGGAAAAAATGGAAACAAAGCTTTTGTAGACTCTTTTTTTTTCTTTTGGTACTGGGGATCAAACTCTGGACCTTGTGCTTGTAAGGCAGGCGGTGGAACTGGAAACAAAGCTTTTGTAAATAAGGAGGGGAAGAGAGGTTGAACAGAAGGGAATGAAAGGGGGGAAAAAAGATAAATCAAAATATATACAGGTACAAATTCCACATGATGATTATCTAAAATGTACCAATAAAATTAATTATTGAAAGTCCAACACCCATTTGTGATAAAAACCCTATAGAAAATTGGACTAGAAGGTCATTATCTCACCCTGATAAAAGCCATCTGCAAGATCCAGTAGCCAATATCAAATCAATGGTCAAAAACTGAAAGCTTTCACTCTAAAATCAGGAACAAGGCAAGAATGCAACCACTGGTAACAAGGAACACCACTCCTGTTCAATACAATTCTGGAAACACTAGCCAGAGCAATCAGACAAGAAAAAGAAATAAAAGGAATATGAATAGGAAAATAAGAAATTAAATTACCATTCTATGCTGAGGACATGATACTGTACATATATGACCCTCTAAAACTCCAACAAAGGCTCCTAAAATTAATAACCAAATTTGGCAGCACAGCAGGATACAAACTCAACACACAAAATACAATCACATTCCTATACATGAATAACAAACTCACTGACAGAGTAATTAGGGAAACAACACCTTTCACAAGAGCATCAAGAAAAATGAAATACTTAGGAATCAATTCAACAAAGAAAGTGAAAGACATATACAGTGGACCCTTGACTTACAAAGGATATTGTCTCCCGAAGGCTGGTTGTAACTCGTTTGTTGTGAGTCAATACCGCTGAGATCTGGATGTTTACCTGAGTACAAAATAGAGATAACAAGAGGCAGATGAATCTTCCATTAACTGAATTAACCCAAGTTGTTCGTATGTTAGGCAGGTTGTAACTTGAGGGTCCACTGTACATTGAAAACTACAGCATTGTGAAAAAGGAGATCAAAGAAGATATCAGAAAACAGAAATACACTCCCCATTCTTGGATGGTCATACTTCTAAAACTCTTATACAAATGTAATGCAATCCCAATCAAAATACCAATAGCATACCTCATAGAACTAGAGAAAACAATCCTAAAATTCATATGGAACCAGGATAGAGCTAGCATAGCAAAAATAATTCTGACCAACAAGGGCAAGGGAGGGGGCATCACAATTCCTGACTTGAAACTATACTATAAAGCTACTGTGATAAAGACAACATGGTACTGGCCAAAACAAAACCAAAACAGATCCAATGATCAATGGAACAGAATAGAAGATGCAGAACCAAGTCCAAGCACACTCAATTAATTATGTTACCTTTGACAAAGGGGCCAAACACCTTCACTGGAAAAAAAAAATAGCCTCTTTAATAAACGGTAGGAGGAAAATTGGCTTTCCATATGCCAAAGTTAAAATTAGACTCATATCTCCAACCATGCACTAAACTAAAACTGAAATGGATCAAATAGCTAAACATTAAAACAGAAATGCTTAATGTGCTTAAAGATAAAACAGGCAAAAACTCTGGAAGACACAGGTATACACAAAGACATTATGAACAAAACACCAACCGCATGGGAAATATTAGAAAGAATCAACCACTGGGATCAAATCAAATTAAAAAGGTTTTGCACAGTAAAAGAAGCCACTGACAATGGGAAAAAAAATTTTACCAGCTATTTCTCATATAAAGAACATTTACAATATATAAAGAAAAAAAATCAGATCCTCCAAATTTAAAGACCTAATCCAAAAATGGACATCTGAGGTGAATACATAATTCTCAGATGTAGAACAAACAGTAAATAAATATATGAGAAAAGCTCAACATCACTAGTTATTTGAGAAATGCACACTAACACTGAGATTCTATCTCACTCCTGAAAGAGTGGCTATCATCAAGAAATCAACCAATGACAAATGCTGGTGAGGCTGTCAGGAAAAAAGAATCCTTTTCCACTGTTGGTGGGAGTGTAAACTAGTATAATCAATATGAATATCAGTGTGGAGATTCCTCAAAAAATTAAAACTAGAGGTCCCATTTGATCCAGCTATTCCTCTTTTTGTTATCTTCCCAAAAAAGTTAAAAGCATCATACCACAGCAATATATGCACACCCATGTATATAGCAGCAGAATCCATAATAGCTTGGAAACAATGTAGATGCCCATCAAAGGTTGAATGGATAAAGAAAAACTGGTTTTTATATACAATGGGGTACTATTCTGCCACATAGAAGGACAAACTTGAAACATTTTTAGGTAAAACAATGAACCTTGAGACTTTTAAATGAAATACATTGGACAAACATATTTAAATGTTTGTTTCTCTTGTCTGACAACCCAAAAGCATAAATAAGAATCAAAATGGATGACAGATATTGGGAGGTAGTAAGAAAATCTCCATTGTGGAGAACAAGGGAAGGGGGAGGAAGGGAAGGGAAGAAAAGGAAAAGAAAAAACAGAATAGAAGGAAAAAATGGAACCAAAGCTTTTGTAAATAAGGAGGGGAAGAAGGGTTAAAAGGAGGGAAGCAGAATGGGGAGAAAAAGAACAACCAAGATATACTTTGAAAGGCTGGGGATCTAGCTCAGTGGTGCCACACCTGCCTTGCAGCGCAAGGTCCTGAGTTTGATCCCCAGTACCAAAAAAAAGATATACTGAGGTAGGATGACTGTAAATTCAAACCTGGCCTGGACAATTTTGCAATTTAGCAAGACCTTATTAAAAAAAAATTTAAGAAGGGCTGCTATCAAAAAATAAAAATAAAAATGGACAAAGTGGAAGACTTTGTTTAAAACATTAATACATCAAGCTGGGCATAGTGGCACAAGCCCATAATCCCAGCACTCAGGAGGTTGAGGCAAGAGGTTCAGTGAGTTTGAGGCCAGCCTGGAAAACATCATACGTTCAAGGCAAGCTTCAACTATATAGCCAGAACCTGTCTCAAAAACTAAATATGTTTCTTCCCTTGTGATATTGGAAATACTACAAGAAACATGTCTGGTTTTTCCCCTATTGTATCTATGCTGCCTAGAACACCACTTGGCATGTGAGACTGGATTCTCAACTTGATTGGTTTAAGAGACATTTAGAAAGGTGTTTGGATTGTGCGGGCACTAACCTCACCAATAGATTAACACATTGATGAGTTCATAGCTGAATGGGCTCCCTGGAGGTGGAGGCTAGTTGGAGGAAGGAGGTTACTGGGGCATGCCTTTGAAGGGCATACCTTCTCTTGGGCTCCTTCTCTCTCTGTTTCCCAGCTCCCATGAGGTGAGCAGCTTTCATCTGCTTCACCACAGTCCTAGAAGCAACGGACCCAAGTGAGCATAGACTGAAACCTCTGAAACTTGAGCCAAAATAAATTTTTCCCCCTTTAAATTGTGTATGTCAGGTATTTACACTCAGAAATGAGAAGCCAAGTGATACAATGTATTTATCAAATGAATGAAATCCACTCTAATCTCAAAATCCAGCTCAACAGCCATTCTCACCATGGTCCCACTAAAAGTCAACAAAGAGCCTTATTAAGTAAATTGGTGGTTTGGGTTTTTGTTGTTGTTGTTGTTGTTGTTATTGAGACAGGGTCTCATTATGTAGTTCAGGCTAGCCTTGAACTCACTACTTAGCCTAGGATGGCCTTGAACTCGAGGTGATTCTGCCTCAGGCTCCTGAATGCTGGGATTACAGCATGCCCCATCATATCTGCCTTAATTAACTTCTGCAGCATTTTAGGGATGGAGATGTAGGAGAGGAATGAAATGCAAAGGCATTCTGGACCAATCTTAAGGCATTTAGCTTTTCTTTCTTTCTTTCTTTCTTTTTTTTGCTTAAATTCTTTTATTGATACATTTTGGGTATACAGTACATTTACATTTATCATTGGGTGCTTGTACCTATACATGATGTATCTTGGTTCTTGTTTTTTTCCCATTCCCTGTGCTCCCTTCCACCCCTCCACTCTTCCCTATTTACATACTTTGTTTCCATTTTTTCCTTTTCTCATAACTTTTCCTTTCCCTTCTTTCCTTTCCCCTTCCCCTCCCACTTCTCCTACCCCTTTGGACCTTCTCTTTCTATTTCAAATGATCAATAATTCATTTTAATCATTTTAATCCTTATATACACTTTCAGTTTCTCACATCAGAGAAAATATTTGGTATTTGGCATTTAGTTTTTCTATATGGCTAATACTAGGCACATATCCAACAATAAATAATATACATTTACAAATCATCTGTCACAATGACTCCCACATAGTTTAAGTATACAAAATACATACTCTGTTGTAATATTCATTCACTTATTCAATATTTAAAGAGCTTATTATATACCAGGCACTATTCTTAGCATTGGAATATAGCACTGGTAAAAAGGACAAAGCCCTTCTTGTGAGAAACTTATATTCCTAAAAGGGATAAAGAAAAGGAATAAGAAAACAACATAATTTCTTATGATCATAAGTGGTAAAAATAATTAGAGAGGGCCAGGCATGGTGGCACATGCCTCTAATCCCAGCACTAGGGAGGCTGAGGCAGAACAATTGCTGAAGTTCAAGGCCAGCCTGGCCTGGATAGCAAGACCCTGTCACAGAAAATAAATAAATACATAATAAAGATAGAGGTTATATGATCAATTATGACTTAGATGTCTCCTACAGATAGGATAAGAGAACTCAAAAGTTTAAAATGGTCAAATCATTTTGCCAATTAATTTCACTTACCTATTGTAGAAAACAACAAAATCCAAAGTTTAAGCACTAAAACTGGCACATGCTTGTAATCTCGGTACTTAGGAGGCTGAGGCAGGAGGATGTCCTTGAGTTCAGGGCTGGCCTGGGTTACCGAGTGAGTTTGAGGTCAACCTCAAACTATGTATTGTATAGTATGTATAGTGAGATCCTTTCTGAAAAGAGAGAGAGAGAGAGAGAAAGTTTTAGGCATTAAATTAACATTTACAGGGCCAGAGATTTAGCTCAGTGGCTTCACCACCTGCTGTGCAAGCACAAGGACCTGAGTTTGATTCCTGGTACCAAAAAAAAAAAAATTAACATTTACATTCAAAATAGAAAATAATGAGAGCTACAGTCTGGATCAAGAATGTCCCCCAAAAAGCCTCTTGTCTTGGGCTGGAAGGTGCTTGGATCATAGGGAAATTATACTCATAAAGGATTTATCCAGAGTTCAGCAGCTGAATATGTGTGAGGAGGTGGGGCCTATTTAAAGGTGTGTTACTGGGAGTTTGAAGTGGAAGGATATATCTCCCTCTGGGCTATGCCCTTCTCGCTCTGCCTCCTGGCCACAAAGACATGAGTAGCATTCCTTCACACGGCCCTTCTACCATGCAGTCTGTGCCTTGGATCTGGCTGATCAAGGATTGAAAAATGTAAGACATAAGTCAACTTTTCCTCCTTTAAGCTGTGGACGTTAGGTATTGCCTCCCAGCAATGAAAAAGTGACTAAGATAACAGACATAATAAACATATTCATATAAAGGTTAATAAGGTGATATCTGATTTTTTTTTTTAGATGGTGCTAGGTATTGAACTTAGGGCCTTCACACTGAGCTGCATCCCCAACCCTTGGAAATGTGAAAAAAAGTCTTGCTATGTTACTAAATTAGGCTAAGTTAGGCTACAGCTTGCTGTCATCCTGTCTCAAGCTCCAAGAGTGCTGGGATTACAAATCTTCACCACCACACCTGACTTGATTTAATACTTTTAGGAAATGGGTAGGAGCTAAGAGTAGAGTGCTTGCCTCATGTTTTTGAGTCCCTGAGTACATGAAAGGAAGACGGAGGGAGAAATGAGGGCTGGGAGGAAAAGGAGAAGGAAGAAGGGAAGAAAAAAGGAAAGAGGAGATATTGGTCCCTTGGATAAAGGGAGGAGGGGATCAAGAGTTCCATGGTTAGCATGACTGAATGCAAGAGCCTATTAACCACCTACATGGATTAATCAAGTGGGCTACACAAGATCACCTCAGATGTACACCAAGATCCTCTACTGATACCAGTAAAACATATTTGTACATATAAAGGCAAAAAACTCAGAAGATATAGTTTAGTATTAATAATGATTATATCAACATTCTGAAGATTTTCATTTGTATATGAACTTTCTGGGGTTTTTGAACAGTGAATATAGGTTTTTTTAAACAACTTTTAAATGTTTTATTGTTTAACTCCCCCACTGTACAAAGAAATGTGATGAAATTAAGACAAAAAGTAGTGAAACAACTGAACAGTTCAATTATTGTGGAAAAAACTAAGTCTCCTCCTTTTCCTACTTTTTCCCTCTGATAAGTGCTACTCAGAAATTATGAAGTCTACATAGTGGCAGTAAAACATTCTCCAGATAAAATGAGCTTTTAAGGAAATTGTGAAGAAAAAAGGAGGCCAAGTCATCAATGACTGAACCAAACTTTTAGTTCTTTGTGGACCAATCTACATGCACTTTTTAGGGTCCACTTCTCCTTTAGGAAAGAAAATGAGCTAACCCAGACCCAGCCAAGTACCTCCTGGGGTTGCAAATTGGTAGCTATCAACAGAAGATAACCTTGCTGTAATATCATATCCTGGTTTAAAAACTGCAGAGCACAAACAGACCTCAGCATTATGTCCCATTCAAACTTTCACTGACAATCTAGGCATGAACTTGTACAGAGTACCTAAATTCTTAGGAAGGCACTACTGCCAAGGACCATAATTTTTTTCTTCCTGTTGGGGTCAGTTTACTATATTCCATGCCCTACAATAAGCTGCAAACCATCTCAGTTTTTCTTTTGGCAAGAGACTGAATTTAATAACCAACACCTAATATTGGAGGCTTTATACTTTCATTTAATTCTCTGATCTATGCCCAAGAGTTCTAATTTCAGGCCCCACTCACTCTCAAAGAACAAGATTCAAAGTTGACAAAATGATTACTCACCTTTCATACACAAACATCAACACTGAAGAACAGAGTAATCGGGTAATTTGCCTACAGTTGTGTTATTAGTCAAAGGTGGGACAAGGAAAAGCACAACTCAAAATTCTAAATCCATGATCAGAATTGTTTCTACAACTACTGTAATATTATACTGAGTATATCAGATCTAATTTCAGCTTCTAAACAAAGATGATTATATGATTAGGTCCATCAAAAATTAGGCAGGTTCACCATGTGTGACCCATGGCAATGGCAACACTGGTATATAGGCTGCAGGCACAGACATGATGAGTAAGCCCCTCCCTAGATGCTTCAGTAGAAGGAGTGTGAAAGGGACTCCCCTACAGAATGTTCTTCCTCCCAGAAAACCTGGCATTCTGGGAAGTCTGGCTGGGTCTCATGAGGCATGTGACAGCTGTGTGAGAGCTCCAGAGCAAGCCCTGTGAGGAAACCATACATATGCGTTTGTTTATTACAAAAATACTCTGAGATGATTTACAAAACCAGGATGCCCACTCTCTGCACTAAGATTCAGAACTATAGTGCTGTTTCTATCTAGGCAACAAAGGAAGACAATGAAAAGAAAAAAATCACTACACTATCAGTTGTTTGTTTTGTTTTTGTTTTTTGCAACAGCGTCTATGTAGTTCAGGCTGACCTTGAAATCATTATGTAGCGCATGCTGGCTTTAAACTTGAACTCTTGGGTGATCCTCTTGCTTCACCCTCCCGAGTGCTAGGATGTTGGGAGCCATTCTACATAATTTTCAGGAAAAATCATTTCACAATTAAATTATGATTAGGAATGTCTGAGAACTAGTCTTCTTGCCTGTGGGCTAAGGCATGAGAGAACATAATTCTGTCTTGCCCCCTGCCTCAATGGTCCTGTGATACTGTGACACTCAAGGCCAAGATTACATTAGCTGAAGACATCCTCATTCTCTGAGAACCAAGTAGTAATAAAAAAAAAGAGAGGTGGACGCCCTACCAAGGTCACGAGTTGCGTGGAACATGCTGAACCAGCCCATGTCCCAGCAGCAATCCACTGAACCCCCCCCACACACACTCCTCTGGCCTCTTCTCTATACCGACACCTGGTTCCACACTACAAAGACGCAGAGGACACCAGACCACCAGACCACGGTACTGGGTAAGTTGGAGTCATCTTCACCTCCCATCATGACCGAGTCTATCTTCAGGGCAAGGGCAGCTGGAACCTGCAATACAACTCTGCAGAGTTCAACCCTACAAGAGGACAGGGAGCTCAACTTGGGACTTGCAGCCAGAAATCTGCCTGAATCTCATGGGTCTGTGACTAGCTTGCTGAGACTCATTGACTTATATCTGCACACTTCTACCCACGTTGTCTATTGTGACAGTAGAGACACACACTGAAAGAGGCCCTACATCTTCACTGTTTTTTTTATTCCCAAAATTAGTATTATTAGTTTGGTTTTTTCTCTTTTCTTTTCTTTTGCTCCTATCTTTAATTTTTTTTCCTACTCTTTGCAAATATTTGTTTTTCTATCCTTTTTCTCTTTTCTTTTATTCTTTCTTTTCTCTTTTCTTTCTCTCTTATACTCACTCTCTTACTCTCCCACACTGTTCATCTTCCCTTTTTGTCCCTGTCTTGGTCCTCATTCAGAGTTCTTCTTTATTTTCCTATTATTCTCTTTTTGTTTCTCGCCTGTGTCCTCTGGCCACACTGCTAACCTTCCCCTATCCTTCTTCCCATCTGTCCCTCCCTAACCAAACCCCTTCTAGTGCCCCATCCCAAAGGGTAAAGTTGTTATATTGAAAAGTTTATTCACTATATGTTGGGTTGTTCCTCGATCTTGATTTAATTCACACAGCTAAAGGTGATAGATTAATAACTACCACAAAATGGCATTTTTGAAGATGTATTTCATGCAATGGTGTTGCTGATTGTATCACTTGGGCTAAGGTGTTGGTATTGATCTAGTCAATCAACCTTTCTAGTATAAGGAAAATGAGATAGCCTTAGAGTCATTAGAAACTCAAAACTTAAAGACCAGCTATATCTGCAGCAGGTGGTGAAACCACTGAGCTAAATCCCCAGCCCTTAGACCAGCTATATCTGGAAGACACCTCTGAGAAGGAATCATTCCATAAGGGTTCTAATTACAAGCAACAAAGATACCTTCAATAAGCAATTTCAAACTATCAACCCAGGAGTTAAACCAAGGACAGTACCAAAAGCAAAAATGAGAAAACATTTAAGCAAGGCACAAACTCAGACTTCCACCCCACCAAGGGTAAATCCTGGATCCTGGTGGAGATGAAATGGAAAAGTCCCATAACCAACCACCTGGATACCCTGAACTGATACCACAGGAAGTAACAAAACAGATAAATGAGGCTCTAGAAAAATTCAAA